TTGTCTTGCTGTACAGCTGGTGTCAAAATAGTAACCGGGTGGCAGGGAGCTGGAGCAGAGGGTTGTTTCTCACAGCCTCAGATCCCTAGTGCAGCACTGTGGTTCAGGGGGACGGAGTGGTTCTGAGCTCTGCTCTTCTGCTTGAAAGCCGTAACCAGCTCTCCTCTCCCTGCTCCCAGCGTATGGCGCAGAACTGCTCCCACGGAAAGGGAGGGATCCTCCTTGCCTGACCTGTACCGCGTTTGCCGTTTTTGCCTTTCCTGGCTGCCGCTTCCACATGCTGAGTTTGTGCTGGAAGTAATACAGCTTGAATTGCTTCCTCCAGCTACTCGCTCTCAATTGACTCTTCTCCACGGGGAGCTTTAAATGGTGCCCACAGGGCAGCGCAGAGCCTGAAATCCCCGTTAACCCTGGTAGTTCAAAAACAATCAAGGCAAACCGAGCTCTGATCTCTGCTTTAGGAAATGATGCAATTGTTGTAACAAGTCATTACCCTAAAAAGAAGAAATGAGCCTTCATACACTATGTGTTAACCTTCACTAACTTCACTAACTAAAACGCATTCTTTTTTCAGCTGTTTTATATGCTTGGTTGTGTATGAGGAAAGGCCTTTTTTTTTCTCCAAGTGTAACTGGTGCTTTTTCAAGGGAGCTAAATGCTGAGAAAACATTAAAAAATCCACATTTTTTACTTCTTTGTGGTAACCTAGTTAGTTTATCAAGACAAGAGCATTTGTGGAAGATAAGAGGAACCAGCCTTAGTCTGTGAGTGCTCGAAACCAGCAGGCAATTGACTTCCATCCTTTACCTTCAGGCTCTGTAGATCTTTGTCCTCCAGGATTTACTCTCAACAGCAGACTCCAGCTGCGCTCCCAGGTGAATTAGAGCTCTGAATTTATAGATTTGTCCACTAATCCTTTCACTGGCACTTTGAATCAAGGCATCTAGGTAGTGCATTTCTTATCAGTAGTGCACTGCTTGTCGCTAAGGGTAAATATCTCTGGAGGGGTCTAAATCATCACAAAACTTGTGTTCGGTGTTAGCAGCACACTTGTTATTCGCTCAGATATTCGGGCACAAAGCTGTTCTGCCGTTTATTTTACCCTGTCCGTGGCACAAAATGGAGATGCTGGGCTGGACCCCTTGCACACAAGAGTTGGTGGGTAGAGACAGGTACCTTCCTCCCTCCAGGTCTCTGAGCAGCGCGGGGCAGTACTGGTAACAAAAAGCACATCCCCACTAGCGTTGTGTTTCTTTCCTGGTCATTTCAGTATGTGTTCAAGCAGTTATTGTGGTAACTCATTTTATTCTACCAAAACAAGCCGCTTTTCGGATCAATTTTTGCAAATACAGCGCGGAGCGTGCGGAGTGCCTGCTGAGCAGCCAGCGGAGCAGTGGGTGTCACAAGAGAAAAGCAAACCAACCTGGATGATGACTGGAAACATTACCATGGGAAAAAAATGTCCTACTGTTGTCATAAAGCAAAATCATGGGAAGACAAAAGTAAACAACTTAGAAGCACCCCTCCCCCCAAAAAAAAGGTCTTGAATAATTTGTCTCGTTTCAAAGTTCCAGAAGTCTCCCAAAGATAAAAATCTGTGGTTTCTGAAGTGCAGCAGCACAGTCCTATGGCAATTGCACCCATGTGGAATCAAAACTACCTACAAAATTGCATTACAGGTAGAGTTGCTATCTGAAACATAAGTAACCTATTTAAATGTATAAAGGGAAACAAGTGGGCTCAACCACGAAATAGTTCTCAGCTGAAATGTCACAAGCACCATCATTTACATTCAGCCTCCCCTTGAACCCAAAGGAGCGCTATGCTAAAGTGTTTCACTGACCCACGTATGGACAGACTGACAGGCTCTTTGTTGCAGAGTCATATTAGGAAATACCAGAGCTAAGGTTGTCTGTGCAACCTTCCTCTCCCCTCCCCATGCGGGCATGCCACAATACGAGCTTTAATTCCGTAATCCCTCAGTCATTTTCCCCTGGCCCCCTGCCTCCCTCAGTGTGGAGGAGGCACAATGCCGCCTTAATGAGCAGACAGGCAGCAGCTTGGCTTATCATTATTTGGTCTGTGACCGTGGACCTCATTCAAGTCCCACTCTCCAAGTCCTGCTCTGAAAACGCAGTGTTTTACAGCTTGTCCCACAAAAGTCTGACAGCCCTTCACGGGCACAACCCTTTTACCCTGCAGCAGGAGTTCAGTGGTTAATACCCTCATTTTACAGATGGAGATAAGAAATAGCAAACGTCTTAACACCTACTGATTCTCGCCATCCCATGCCCATCCATCACGCCGGAGCACAGCCCCTGAGGAGGGCTGACGTGGTTGTGAGCGCTCTGCACCTCAGCAGGTCAGACCCTGGTGCCTCTGGTCAGCCAGCCAGAGAACAAGGCAAGGTAGATGTGGCCACCCCATTGGAAACTAGGGTGTCACCAAGCCCTCCATGGCAGCTGCCTTGCACAGGGTCCTCAGATCTCGGACCTACCCTCCTAGCCAGTCCCCTTCTGATGCTTCACCCTGTTTGTCTCCAATGACCTCTGTTTTCCCACTGGTAGCAGCATTATCTGGCCCATGGCATAGCTCCAGGTTGTAGTAAGACAGGTGGGAGTAGCCATACACCGTCCTAGCCTTTACCCCATGGGGAACAAGAACAGCCCAGGGCCCATTGCTACTCTTGTCTCCCTTCTCTGGGTTATGCGTTTGCAGTCGGGAAACACCGAGCTCTTCACCTTCCACTGGTTTCTGCCCTCTTTCAAAGACCTTAAAGCCGAGGAAGGAGAGCAGTCTGTATTGCTGCTGCTGTGCTCTGCATGTACCTCGTTACTAGAATTTCCTCCTCCACTGCCTCCATCCCTGCCTCTTAAATCTCTGCCCAAGCTCTCCATCATACTCCTTTTTCCCAGGGTCTTTCACCCAAACTTCCAGTCTGAGGATAACTAACTCCTCTGTCAATCTCTGGTCCCAGCTTCCTCAACCTCTGCACTTTTTGTCTTAATGTCTCTTCCCTCTGCTACCAGCCCTGCCTCCCTCTGTCTGTCCCTCAGGCAACTGGGGACCACAGACTGCAGAGCTTTGGGCACCCAGGTGTGACCAGTGCAGGTACTATAGGTCCAGGTGGACTGGAGGGACCTTTGCCATGAAGCGGGAGCCCCTGTGTAGGAAGCCCACACAGTTACTGTTGTTTATTTTTGACATGTGGGGTTGAAATTTGAAATGAATTAAGTAACTCTTAAAACTTCTTGTCCGATGTCTTTTGACATTGTGGTTTTGGTCCCTAACCCCAGGTTAGGGATGAGGAAGAGTGTGGCAAGACAGCTGTATGAAGCAGCCTTCCTCCTCTCAACTGCACCTACCTATGGAAGTGGATGGCCAAGTTATTTACAGCCCCGGCCCTGCTCCTTAGGCTTTAGACCGGTGGAGGGTATTTATGCGCATTTATGGGTGAAGTTGAAGAACCAACAGCATTTCCCTTAGCCAAGGTACAGTTACAGAAGCAGCCACATGAAGCCCTCACAGGGTCCTGGCAGCTCACCTCACCCAAACCCTGCCATGGCCCTGTGGGTTCTGGCTGTGGCCCCTGCGAAGCACAGCTCTGGTTGTACAGGAGAGGAGCTCACAGCACAACCCCTGCCCGGCACCCTGGGCAGGGGGTCCACGAGCCAGGGCCCCAGCCCGCGTGGAGGGGGCATGGCCTGAGGCCCGCAAGGCGACCTGGGGTGACATGGCTTAGGGAAGCAGTTGCCTTGGCAATGCTTTTACATCACCTGCCCAAATTTCTCTCCTGTACCTGCACAGGTGCCTTTTCCGACACTGCCTCAAGGGTTAGGGTAGGCTGCCAAGAGAGCCTGGGTTTTGGGGTTTTGTTTGTTTTTTTTTTTACTATTCTTGACTCTAAGTAAAAAGTCTTCAGTTTTCACGTCAAACACATCTTGAGCGTGAGCAGATGGGCAGAAGCAGTGGCTCAGGTGGAACCAGCAAAGGCAAACCCTGCTGCCTAGGCGGAGGGCAGTTCCCCCTGTTCAGCTCTGGGAAACACGGGCCCTTGAGCTGTGTAGCTTGTGAGCATTATTGCAGTCATCGTTTTCTACCAGGTGTGAAATTTTGATGAAATGCTCTTTTTTTATTAAAGCATACAACTTCCCTCCTCCAGATAATTGCCAAGCAAAATCAACCCACAGTTGTGTTGGGCTATGAGAAGTTGGTTTGCTGTATACCTAACGACAAAATTAAATAATGGCCTAAAATTAAAAGAGGGTGCTTGTTTATTAGTTATATTTTTCCTTCAAGCAACGTCATGGCTTCTTTCCTGCTATCCCTCTTTCTTTGGAGGAGCTGCCCTTAAAACCCTGCAGAGTCTTTGCATAATTCTCCTTTGAATTGGCCCTCCTCGCTCAGCATCTGTAGTGATGCCTGCAAAAGCTTCAGACAGCAGCTTGGCCGTGGGTAGCTGGTGACCCGAGCTGCTCATAGTATTCATTTCGCTTTGGCCTTCTCTTGCACTTGTGAGGTGCAGGTAGCGTCTGGCACACAAGGAACCCCCCTCCTGCGGTGCAAGTAATCGCTGTTAGTGCATTTCATTCTGTCACAGGATTTTACGATGGAGAAATAAGGAACAGTAATGCCTTAGTGTCTTTTTTCAGTGAGGAGGGTTTCTTTTTTCCATAGCTTTGGTGCCACCACAAGATTTGTGAAGAAATAGTAACATGCTTTGATTGTAGGATCAGCTGCATTGGACACCTCGGGGTCCAAAGCTTTCCAGCCCAGGAGTTGGAGGCAGGAGAAGGGCTGTGAACAGGCAAGCGTGAAACTTCACCTACTGTCCATATTAGCCCTAGGATGTTCTGAGATTTTAATTTATTATTATTTTTTTTAAACACTAAAGGAACTGTAAGTAAGAGTAATTATGTATATTGTAAAATGGACAAGCCTGGCCTTGGATGTTACTGACAATAATTGTAAAGCCTCTCATTTTCACATTTTTGTTGCAGATTGATGTCCTCAAGGCAGATGTGGAGAGCGCCGAGTGGAAAATTTTGGAAAACCTGATCCTGGAAGATGTTGTTGAGCAGATAGGACAGCTGGTCTTTGAGGTGCACATCCACTGGCCTGGGTTTGAGGTCAGCGGCAATGACAGCACCGTGGTGCGGTACTGGTACAGTCTGCTCCGAGAACTGGAGCTGAAGGACTTCAGGCTTTTCCATACCTACAAAGACTTATCAAAACCACAGATGTTTCTGAAAAAGGAAGCCTTCAATGCCAGTAGCTGTTACACACTGAGCTGGGTAAATACAAGATGGAAATAGCAGAAAGGAATTTATGATGTGTGACTGCGAGCCATCTGGCCCCGTACCGTTATTGAAGAGGACTTTGGCGTCACCGGCTAAAGTTGCTAAATATGCACACAGTGACTGCTAACAAAATGGACTGGCTTTTATTTTTATATGTTGTCAAAAGAACTGGCACTAGGAGAAGATAACACGGTGCAGATCTGTGTAGCAGTATATTTGCCAGCGGGTACACCGTCTCAGAGGACAGAGGTTTCTGTCAAGGTTTGTCTGGGGTGGCTAACGGCACGGCTTTCCCAGGCTGCCCGGTGCCTGAGCGTGCCAGCAGAGAGGGCATCCCTCTGGGGCTGCCCCGGGGAGCTCTGCTCGCTGAGCTGCACCAGCCCTCGGGCAGGAGAGTGCTGGCGACGAGGTGCCTTTCTCAGGGTCACGCGTTACTTCTCTGTAAAGCAGTTGCCTTTGATTCGCACCTGCTTTACTTTTGCCTTGTTACCAACGGAACAAATTTTACGCAAGAATAGTAAGTTCTTCAACCCACTGGCAAATTTCAGCTGAATTTGGCAGAGGCAGAAGTCAGCACCAAACTAAATTCTTACCTGTTCTGTTGAACAGCTGCTGAGTGCTCTGACTTTGGCTCTATAGGGCAGTCTGGCTGCGGGAGGCACTTCTCGCGCAGGAGACGGTGGGACAGAGAGACTCAGCTGCAGGAAAAGCTGCTGCCAGCGCTCCCCCTGCTCACCCTTCGGAGGCTTCGGCCACAAAAGACAGGGCTTCCCTAGTTCAGCTGCTCAAAGAACGGCTTGTTTTGAATTACTCTCGCAATAGCTGTAGCAAGTGGTTTTTCATCTAGCGGGATACTTATTTAAAGAGCTGAACGTGAAACCTGGTCTTTTTTGTTCATTTGTTTTGGGTTTTAGCTGAATGTTTTGCTGCGTGCCTTCTCCAGCGCTGTGCCTGGATGCCTGCCACCTCCTCAGCACCTCCCCGGCCTGTCCGGCCCTCCCTGCCGTGAGCAGGCCAGACCCCGGGTCTGCGCCGATGCTGGCAGAGGTGGTGGCGGAGGCAGTGCCCGGGTCCGCGGGCGAGCTGGGGCTCTGCAGGCTGGCCTCGGGGGTGCCCGCAGTGCCCTCCCAGGAGCCAGCCTTGGCCGGTCCCGGAGGAGCTAAGGAACAGGGGGAGCTAAAAAATATAGAGCAGGTTGAGGTATTTTCTTCTCTTTAAAAGAATTTTGACATTAAACTTTGCATTAAAATACAAGACGGCACCACTTCCATGTCTTTGATATACGGCCTTTGTAACTGCCTTTGGTTTCTGACTTCTGCAGGGCTCAGTGTTCCTCCCCTTAGTGTGCCTTGGCCCAGTGTTGCATTTTTAAGTCGTCTCTCTCTTTCTCTGTCCCCGTGTCGTTCCTTCTCTTGTAATCCTGGCATTCCCCTCTCTCCTTTCATACCCTCCTTTCCTTTTTCACCGTCTCCGTTGCCTCAGCTCCCTCATCCCCTCCTTCCCGGAGCAGGGCCCGGTGCTGGACCCAACATGCCCACAGGATTTCGCAGCCGGAGGAGAAAGAAAAGAGGAGGAGCTCTTCCTTCCAGCCAGGCGAGTCTGCTTTCTCCCAGAGGCACTCCTTTGCCTCACCAGTGGATGAAGCCATTCCCCTCACCTTCCCCAGGCTTCGCCCCTGAGCGAGGCATCTGCTTTCCTCCTCTCCCACCTCTCTGAGGGCTCCCGCTGCCCCAGGGCAGGCAGGGACCGCTCTCCCCAGCAGAAACTGCTTCAGCCCTTCAGGTCAGCTCCCTTTCTCGCAGAAGAGGCCAGCAGGCGGGTGACCCTGCTGGCGTGACAGTCGTCCTCCCACCGCCCTTGCTCTGGGGCTGCGGGGAGCCACCTGCCCTGGCCCCAGCGCCCGCCTCCCCACCGGGACCTGCAGAGCCCCTCGTGGGGCTTGAAACCGCTGCAGTGAATCCGATTGTGAGCATCCATGTTGGCCACAGAGGCCGCAGACCTCGGGCCGCTGTGGAAGAGGCAGAAGAAAAACCTCTCCCTGCTTCCATGGTGAAGGACTAGGGTGGTGAGGGGCTGGTGGAAATGGCGAGGATTTTAATCTCCTCAGAGAAAGCCAGCTCCATGCCCTTGTGCGTTCAGGTTTCTATCAATCAGTCTTCCAAATCACATTTGAAATTTTAACTTGTGGCTAAATGTCAAACCATTTCTTTTTTAACAAACACATGCTGGTTTTCAATCTACTGCCTTTCAGTCATGCTGACAGTGCCTTGTGTTGTATGGAGTCTCTGATTTACTGCCTCCCCATTTTATTTTCCTTTTAAAAACAAATCCATCTACTTCTTTAGTTACACTTTAATTTTCTGAAGTGGAGTTTAATTCTAAGAGGACTTCTTAACATGGCCTTCTGCACATCAAACACCTCGTTTAGGGAAGAAAGAGGGCGGTGCAGCCGGAGCAGGACTACTGACCAGGTGATGATCCCAGCTGTGCCTGCGCGAGTGAATGAAGCAGCGGCAGGCAGCATGCACAGGCTCTGGGAACGGCTGTCTGGTTAATTAATGAGATCCCTGGCACAATTTAGGCTCAGGCCATCTAGGACTCTCCGAGATGATTTCCTAGGCACAGCTGGGGAGTTAGCCCAAGCCAAGGACGGCTTGGATGCAGCCACCTTGTTCGGGAAGCTGAAAGAGTTTAGTAAATGGATGTGGCCAGGTCAGCTTTGCCAGTTTGCCTCAAGGCTGGGGAATACCTCCTGGCACCGTTTTATTTTCTGGTATAAACATAGCTTCTGTTTCTGCTCCTGCACATCCCTCCTGGACTGGGGGGCAAGGGGCTTTGCAGTCACCCAGAGCAGGGTGCTATGGGGGCCCACCACCTCCTCAGCTCTGCGGCACTCAAAATCAAGATGACACATCGCTGCTGTGTTGGATTCCCCATGTCCAAGGCATTAGGCAAAGCGCTTTCCACAGGGCCGAGCTACACATTGCCGTCCCTGAGCCAGGTAATGCACCACCCAAGGGAACCGCGACCTCTGAAAATGGGTAGGAAATGCCTTCTCTGTGACAGCCATGCTTGCTGCAAACCCTCCTACATTAAGTACTGAGGTTGTTTAACGACGCAGGGGCATGAGGAGATTCATTAAAATGCGAGAGGGTGCCAGGATTTCCTAAACCGGTATCTAGCTTGTTGGAGCGATCACGCCTACTGCACCACAGAATGGCTCAGCTCCTGTTTTTGCAAATAATGGGGTGGCAAAAGTCCAGCTGTGAGTCCTGATTTATTAATAAAGCATAAAAATACAGCCTCTAGCACTGCACAGGGCTCTTGCTGCTTCAGCCAGAACTGAAGCTCCATCAGCCGTCTTCCCCCCAAGATTTACTGCTACGTGCTGGCTCTCAGCCACACCGGCGACTCTGGGGACATCCACACATGTTTGGCACCCGTGTCTGAGCTTGCCTTGCCCCTGTAGGATGGCTAATTGCAGGGAGCATTGCACTGCCCACGTGCAGCTCTGGAGGAGCTGCTGGAGAGGCCACGAAGCAGGTGAGGAGCTTGTTGAGACGATCTCCCTGCAGTGACCCCTGCAGTAACCGCGTGCCAGCGTTGTACTCCGCATCTCTTCCCAGATCAGACGTGCACAGGAACTGCGGTAGCTGCTGCCTTCTTCAAGTGCACCATTAAAACCAGTGGTGGTGGGGCATTCTCCCATTATAGCCACAGCCTGGAGACTGGTAACTGCGTGGCCATGCCCAAGCAGGAAGAAAGGGCCACTGGCCTGTCCTGGCAGTGCTAAAATATTCCTGAGTGCCCAGTCTGAGCAGCGTTCAAGCATCTCCTGCAGATGATGCAGTAAAGCCTTTTTTTCCTTCTGCTTGGTCTGAGAGATGACTCACCAGAGACCCGCTGCGGGGCCCTGCCCTTGACAGCACCTGAGGAGGAAAGTGAGACTCATCCTTCAAACTCCTACTGCCAGGAGCAGCATGGGAAGGTGCCCAGACCGCACCAGGGCAGGGCAGGAGCACAGGGGCCAGATCATCCCATGTCATCAGGCGGCAGGTGGCAAATGTGCTTGCACGGGAGCTCATTGCAAAAGAGTGGTCTGTCCCCTTTCCCAAGCTGTATATCTGTACTATGCCATCTACCAGGCGCTCCTGGCACCTTCTGCCACCCTGGATCTGCTCAGTGTCACTGTTACGGGTATTGCCCAGCTCCGCTCTCCCCCAAGGCTTCTGGACCTCAGTCCCCAGGTGCATTGGGCATCTCCCCACACTCCCTGCAGGCATCTGCATCAGCTCTCCAGAGCAGCCAGCCCATTGCCTCCAGCCTGGCACCGGGAGAAACCCAGCCCAGGAGCCTCCTTACTGCCCACACCTCAGGCCATTTGTGGTGGCCACAGCAGTGCCAACCCCAGATAACAAGGACACAATGACCAGGTCTCGTTCCTGAAGTGGAGTCATTATGGCATTAGTTTGACATCTCCACCAGGAGATATTTCAGCTGGCTCTGAAATGGATCTTTGCAGAGATGACCTGTGTGTAGTGGCAGTTTTATCTGCACAGATCCTCATGTGGGGGTGAGTGCATTTCCCCTTCAGGGAGGCCCACAGTGATTTACAAATCACTCACATTTGTGAATCAGAATTTACAGGTGCTGCTTGTGACCTGGTAAAGATGAAGAGCAGCAACAGATTTGAATCCCCCAAACTATCACAGATAATACTGCAACACCGGCTTTCCATAGAGAGCCCACGGCAGCATGGAGTGGGATGTGTTAGAACACTAACGCTCTTCTCCAGGGGAACCAGTCCCTTTCTGAATGCCACGCTGGCTTCCTTGGAGGTTCCAAGATTTGACCAAAGAAAGGTCTGACCTCCTGCCCCACTCCAAAACCTGATGTTTATCGCACGCGCTTCTGGCCCCAGGCTTTGATCCCATCAGTGACTTGTGAAGGGTTGTTCTTCACACGCGCCCCTCAACTGTGAAAGATCAAAGAAAACGTAAAGGGAACATATGTCTGGCCTTTCTTGGCAGATGCCAAGAAGATGTATCACCCGGCAGCACACCTGAAGAAATAGCACTCATTCTCTCCGGTGAATTATTCAACAGCTGAGACCATCTGGTTCATTCAAAAACTTTGATTTCATGAGCTTCATTAGCTGCT